CATAAAAGACAATATAACACATTTTGGCCCCATCTTTGAAAAATATCCCATGGCCTCTTCCAGCCAGGTGCAGGAGATCAAGTGAGGGCCCATCATTAACTAGCTGCTGTATAGAACACTATGTTGCTGTAACTTGTAATACACACACAACACATACAACATTATGAACTACACCACTTTACCACATCAGAGGAAACCATGCAACAGCCTTAACTCATAACAGAAAAAGAGAAGGTAAATACACAGGTGGCACTTATAAAGAAGGTACACAGAAGGAGCATATAAAGAAGGTACACAGGAGGAGCATATAAAGAAGGTACACAGGAGGAGCATATAAAGGTACACAGGAGATGCATATAAAGATGGTTAACAGGAAATGCATATAAAGAAGGTACACAAGAGGAGCATATAAAGAAGGTACACAGGAGGAGCATATAAAGGTACACAGGAGATGCATATAAAGATGGTTAATAGGAAATGCATATAAAGAAGGTACACAGGAGGAGCATATAAAGAAGGTACACAGGAGGAGCATATAAAGAAGGTACACAGGAGGAGCATATAAAGGTACACAGGAGATGCATATAAAGAAGGTACACAGGAGGAGCATATAAAGAAGGTACACAGAAGGAGCATATAAAGGTACACAGGAGATGCATATAAAGATGGTTAACAGGAAATGCATATAAAGAAGGTACACAAGAGGAGCATATAAAGAAGGTACACAGGAGGAGCATATAAAGAAGGTACACAGGAGGAGCATATAAAGAAGGTACACAGGAGGAGCATTTAAAGAAGGTACACAGGAGGAGCATATAAAGAAGGTATACAAGAGGGGCTTACAGGGTGATTCGCAAAGAGTACATTAAATTGGAGGATGAAATCCTTGGATAAGTCTAAACCACAATGTTTCTATAGTAAAATGTCAGATTCTGCATAGTTTCCATGTTACAATGCATTTAAGATGTACAGTGGTCCCTCGGTTAACGAGCGCCTCGGTTAACGAGATTTCGGTTAACGAGTTACCTTCCATAAGATTCTTAACTTTGGTTAACGAGCAATCCCTCGATTAACGAGTTTCTTACGAGCCGACCTCCACATGTTTTAGCTTGCATTTGGCGGTCCACCAGCTGTAGTATTAGTCCCCCAATACAGTAATCGGTTCTAGGGCTTAAATATCGAAGAAGTTTATACTATTCAATAATTTTAAAAGTTTAATATTAAATTTTTTTAGTAATTTTAACAATTATTGAACATAATTGAAGGTAGGGTCACTAGTTTGTGGCACGCCATCCAGCCTGCCAACACAGCATACAGGCGTCAGTCTTTGTGTCTTTTCAGTGGAGGTAACATCTTGCTTGAGACTCTCTTCAACTAAATGCTTTTTTTCTGTGTTTGCAAGCAAATTATTGGTCATTTTGATATTATTTTACATATTGAAAATATATAATGCAGTGCAGTGTTGATTTAAAGAAAATAGGGAGGTACTACCGCCTGGGAAGGTGTTGGAAGCATAATGTGTTGTCTATGGTAGACCCTGCTGCCACATGACATCACGAAAATTGTGACCAAGTCCCAGGTTGCTGATCTGACTTTCTGCCTCATTTACACACAATAGCAGGGTCTCAATTGTTTCTCTTAATATTGACAGCACAACATACAGCACATATATTGTTTCTCACTTGATTTTTTTTTCATTTTTTTTTCTTTATGGTTCTTTATTATTATTATAATTATATTATTATTATTATGATTATTATTATTATTATGATTATTATTATTATTATGATTATTATTATTATGATCATTATCATTATCATTATTATTATTATTATTATTATTATTATTATTATTATTATTATTATTATTATTATTATTTCACCCCCTAGGCCAGGGGTGGGCAACCCTTGGCACGCGTGCCAAACATGGCACGCTAACGGCTTCTTTCCGGCACGCGAGACCCGGGCTCACCTCAATAAAAAAAACCCTTTATATGGCAACCGCATGCCGCCTTGGCGGCAGCGGGTGGAAGGATTGTTTCCCGTTCTGTTGTTAAATAATTAGCCATGCGGCCAGACGTGGTGTGACTCCTTTACCATCATTAATATTTTATATATTTTTTCGAGTTTTGCAGTTTCGCAAAGAATTTATCGGTTAGCAAAATCCAAGTTCAGCTATATGAATGTTTAAATTTAATTAAAAGAAAAACAAATATTACACCAAGATCTGTAATAATTATCTGGCTATCAGAGATTGCATTAAAAACATTATATCAAAAGTCAACCTCTTTTAGATCACTGGGTCATTATATGGCACATTAACTTAAAAGGTGTCTTAACTTTCATGGAAGGGAACATGGCTTTTTAGCTCAGTGTCCCATAAATGTCACATGCATATCCGTTCTCTCTAATCATTGTTCCTCTGGTGGTGAATGTGTGAAGTGTGAACCAGCAAAGTAAACATAGCAAGAGGGAGAATCGTTGACCACGTGCAAGTAAGTTATTATTTACTGTCCAAATTATCAGCTGTCATAGTGTTTGTCATGCTTACCCATAAATTTATCGATGTTCCTAAGACACTGCTGAATCTGTATACTCCTGTGCACAAGGAAAATTTGGCGCAACTTACCTTAGCAAGGCGATTTAAATTTTGCCCCTAAAATGTGACCTTTTTTAAGCTGAATAATGGATCTCACCCCGCTTAAGTGAGTAAAGCAAACCTTTGCTGAAAATTTTATGAACTTGTTGGTAGTGAGTATATTTATGGAGCGTGACATATCTGGCACACTAGTCAGAAGGTCCAAAAGAGGTTAATGAAGCCTGTTCTTCAGCATACTGTATGTGCCATAAACATAAGTTATTTTTAAAGCTAAGGGAAATGTATTATTAATATTCAGGATTATGAAGTGTTATCTGCACGTGATCAGATAGCATGCATGCCTTTCTCGTTGATTTGCATTGTGTAGGCATGCCTATAATTGTACCAATTTATTTTATTTTTTATTTTTTTTATTATCCACCAACTGATTTTCATAAACCTTGGTATATGTATGCAGAGAGTGATTGTGAAGAGAATTTCTGAGTCCACAAGTCTCTGTCCACATTTTTACACCCCATGAACCGGTTTTGGTTATATTTACTTTTAACACCAACAGCTATTTCATGTTTTTCGTGTGGTTATATAGTAGAATACATTAATACAAGACTATTTTCTTTTGTAACACTTTTGGCCAAAATGTATAATAACCGAGATATTATTTTTTTTATAATAATGCTTCATAAAATAATAACTCAGGTATTGTGCATTTTGGCCAAAGGTGTTATAGAAGAAAATAATCTTGTATTAAGCATTCTACTATAATACTATGTGAATACAGAATATATATATACAGATTTATTTCTTTATTTATATTTTTTTAATAATTTATAAATTAATATCTCGGTTATTATGCATTTCTACCAAAAGTGTTACAAAAGAAAATAGTTTTGTATTAACGCATTCTACTATATAACCACACAAAAATCATGAAATAGCTGTTGGTGTTAAAAGTAAGTATAACTTAAAGTTGGAAAGTGTGCGAAGAGAGCAATTATTTTTTTACACATCATATGATTGCTTTCTACCCCTTATTTACAGATTGTACAGAATGTCACGACCACCAGCCAAGAAACGATGTCATACAAATGAAGAGGATATTAGAGAATTTAAAGAATACTGGACTGAAAAATTTGGCATGATCAAGAAAGATAATAAAGCATTATGCATTTTATGTTCTGAATCAGTTGTTTGTAGGACTTCTTCTGTGAAGAGACATTTTGAAACTGTTCATAAAAACTTAAGTAATGTAACTGAGCAAGAACGAAGAGAATTAATTTCTCGTGAAATGATTAAGACAAAAAAACTGTCTGATGTTTTGATGAAATTTATTTCAGGTAGGCCAAGTTCCAACTTAGTTGCTGCTGGTTTTGAGGTTTCAAAAGTTATTGCCCAACATGGAAAGCCACTCAGTGATGGGGAGTATATTAAAGAAGCATGGCTAGAATGTGCTCCTTTCCTTTTTGATAACCTTTCAGAAAAGGACAAGATTATTCAGCGCATTAAAGATTTGTCTGTGAGTAGAAAAACAGTTAAGGATAGGATACTTAAGATGGAAATGAATACAACTGACCAATTAACAAAGGATTTAGCTTCATGTAAGTTCTTTTCTATTTGTGTTGATGAAAGCACAGATATTACATCATCAGCTAGGCTAGCAATTTTTTCTCGATTTTGTAGGGATGATGAGGTATGCGAAGAGATGATTAACCTTGTAACACTACCTGAGCGTACCACTGGGGCTGACATATGTAAAGCAGTTGTGAACGAATTATCTATTCGACAAATTGACATTTCAAAAGTAGTATCCGTCACAACAGATGGTGCACCCAGTATGATTGGTAAGGAAGCAGGATTTGTAAATCTGTTTGCAAAACATGTTGGTCATCCGCTGATAGGTTTTCATTGCATCATACATGAGGAGGCTTTATGTGCTAAAGCTGGTCTAAGGGAACTTCAAGAAGTGATGCAAACAGTCACCAAGGTTGTTAATTACATTTCTGCACGTGCCTTAAATAAAAGACAATTTCGGAATTTATTGAATGAGGTGGATTCGGTGTACAAAGGACTAACAATGTACAACAATGTTCGTTGGCTTAGTCGAGGATTTGTTTTGAAACGATTTGTTGAATGCATGGATGAGATAAATCTCTTTCTGATTAACCAACAAATGTCTTATAAAGAAATGTCTGACATCGTGTGGGTTTGTAAACTAATGTTTTTTGCAGATTTATGTGAACATTTAAATGACTTAAATGTTAAATTACAAGGCTCTGGTAAGACACTTGATGTTATGTTTGATTACATAAAGGCATTTGAAATGAAACTAGGAGTTTTTAAGAGGGATGTAGATAGTGAAAGATTTAGATACTTTCCAAACCTAAAGAAATACATCAATGATCTCACAAAGGATGACAAAACAGACTGCCAGTGTCTTCAGAAGCTATTTGTAAACATCATTGAGTCAACTGTTGAGCAGTTCTCAACAAGATTTGCTAGGTTCAGAGAATTAGAAGAGACTGCAAAATTCATTAAGTTTCCAGACAGTATAAAACTGGATGAACTAAACTTGCAGAAGTTTTCATGGATAGATATGGATGATTTTGAAATGCAATTGATTGAATTTCAAACTAGCTCAATTTGGAGGCAGAAATTTGTTGAGCTTAGAGCTGACTTGGAAAGTATTGAAAAGGATCGATTAGAGAAGGGAGTAAGAGAGAGAAATGCCGAAAACGAGGTACTGAGGACTTGGAATACTATTCCAGAAACTTTTGTCTGTTTAAAAAACTTGCAACAACATTACTATCCATTTTTTCATCTACATATTCTTGTGAATCATTGTTCTCAGTGATGAACTCTGTTAAGTCTCATAATAGAAGTAGCCTTACTGATGAAACTAGTAGCGCATGTATATCTCTCAAGGTTACAAAATATAAACCGGATATAAATTATCTATCATCAGGGATGCAGCAGCAGAAGTCTCATTGATTCTAAATAAAGAAAAGGTTCACAATTATTCGTTCTCTAATTTTCATTTGATGTATTCTGTTAAAAATATTAAGGATTCGCTTTTGTTTAATATAATACAGTGTGTATTGTTGTAGGTAAAATAACTTTTATATTTTCTCTGTGGTTTTTATGCATCATTCATAAAGGATTAAGAATCAATAAAAGAATATCTTTAGTTTTATATCCTTTTATTGTGTTTTAGTCGAGTAAATCGATATTGAGCTTGGTATTGTAATGTACTGAAAAAAGTTTACAAAAACTAATGGCTGAATGATCTGATAAACAAATCAAAAATATTGTTTACTCTTTTGCTGATGCTAAAAATAACGTCTTTAAATTGTGTGGATGTATATGACAACTAGATTTACACTGAAATGCTAATATAAAACATCCACGCTAACAACAGGGAAGAACAACCACTAAGTAAAAATTCTGTCACTAATTTTTACATTCATTCAATATCCCATGATTTATAAAATCACTCTTACAAAACTCTCTGATTTTACCACCCCGGTGTGATTTCTGATTATTTGAAAAGGTTCTCCCATTACGTAAAAGATACCAAATAATATGTGACCCGGAAATTTTGGTTGGCACGAGAGAAAATTTTGTATCAAAGATTTGGTCGATTTTGGCACACACACTCAAAAAGGTTGCCCACCCCTGCCCTAGGCCCTGATGTGGGTCAGTGACCTGTGCCTGGATGGGCTAATCCCCATAAAAAAAAAAAAAAAAAAAAAAGAGAACTAAAATTTTATGGGTGAAATGGTGCCATGGGGTGACTTCTCTTCCATCCCAATGCCTTCTCTTCTCCCTTCTCCTCCACCCCCATTCTAATTCCCATCATCATCATCATCATCATCCAGGAGCCATCTACATACACACCTCAAAGTAAGTGTACTTTTCTACCTTTTTTGTTGAATTTAGGCAATTTTCGGTGAGCTGGAACCAATTACCTAAAAACCCATTGAAACAGTGGTTTCGGTTAACGAGTTTTTCGGTTAACGAGCAACCTTCTAGAACGGATAGTGCTCTTTAACCGAGGGACCACTGTAGTATTAATGAGAGTGAATTTGAAGTGAAACCCGGTAGGTTTTTGTAATCATTTATTCACAAATCTCTACAGTGTGACCCCTCTTTGTTACAACCTAAAGGAGATGTTCAAAGTTGCCCCCTTCTGCCTCAATGCAGGCCTGTACACGTCGTACCACTGATTGTCTGACGCGTTCCAGAACGCCTGGACTATGTTTAATTTGCTCGTACCTGTCATTAACACGTGGGCATATGCAGAATCTGACATTTTACCAGAGAGACATTGTGGTTTAGAATTATCCAAAGATTTCATCCTCCAATTTAATGTACTCTTTGCTGAATCACCTTGTATAAAAGAAGGTACACAGGAGGATTCAGCATATAAGAAAGGGAAGAATTAAACTAAGGCTAGTACTCACAGGCTTGGGGATGGAGATGTACTTGTGGAGGATGGAAGCAATCTGCCTAGCCCTGGGTGTGTATAGGAGCATCCTGGTGCCTCCTGCCCCCACCAGTCTCAGTGACCCAGCCCGTGGACACTCCGCCTCCTCCACCGTGCTTTTCATCACATACACAGAAAAGCGGTCAGCCGATCATCCTCCATTCATGTTTATTGTCACTTGCAAAAAGTTTAACATTCCACCAAAGATGAAACCTTCTCACAAATAAAGCCATGTAAAACTGTTAGGGTTACCCAACTCTGGCTCACTTTAATGCCGAATTTAATGTCTGTAAAGATATAATTACAATACTTGAAAATATTAACTTTCAAGATATGAGTGGAAAAAGAGTTTGAAATAAAGAATATTTAAACGTTGAAGTCACACACAAATTCACACTTTTGGAGAACACATTCGCCATTATTACTTCTCTTTTTACTTTTTTACTTTTACTTTTATCCTCTTCGCCACTGATTGGCTCGTTAGCCGCTTGGATGGTCTGTCACATCTCTGTTACACACTGTTGGCACGTACTGAGCATGCACTGGCTCCTGAACCTGCACCAGTACTAATCAAGTCTGGTCTTGAAACAGCTCACACTTGGTGCCATCATAACACTCTCCAGCAGGTTGTTCCAAGCATTCACAAGTCTCACTCAGAAAAAGTTTGCCCTCACAGTTTTCTGGAATTGCAGCTTCTTCAACCTTGGGCTGTGACCCCTTGTGTGGGGCAGGCATTTGCCAGCTCCAGGTACAGACACTCGACTGAGCAGTGCCCTTTGAGATGTGTATAAACCTCAATTAGGTTCCCCCCCCCCCTTGCTGATCCATAATATGAGACAGGTAGTTGCAGGTGCTCTAATCTCTCTGGATTGCTGAGGTGCCAAAGTGCAGTCACCAGTCTGTCTCTTTCTCCTACAACCACAGCTGCCACAAGATTCTCACATCAAAATTCTCTTCATCATTTAAGCAAATAATGTATACGAATATTTGGAAACTTCTCATGATCTAAAATAATGAGGAATAGTTATTATTATAAAAATGCTACTTTTGGTTTGTTTAATATTTATCCAGACAATGATACAGCTGAAAATAGATCCACCAATCACAATCACCATTACATACAGCCTTACTTTACCAAGTATTGCCATGTAAAATTGTGAGTACGAGACCCAGGGTGGGGTCATTGGATCTTTGGCTGATTGTACGCACACACACACACACACACACAGAGAGCTATCCTTCCTTCATTAGTTCATCATCTCATCACTCTAGATATATCAGGATCAGATCAGCGGCTCTTTTGCCAAGTGAACTATCTCCCATAATGTTCATCTTAAGCAACACCAAAAACGTCAATATGTGGTGTTTACCTACATATGATTCTAGTCTTTATAAAATGGTCATTAATATCCATTGCTTTATTTGTTTGGTGTCATTTGTCTTGATATACACGTTTTATGTATTTTTGTTCACCAATTGAACGACTCGTTAGCCGCTTGGGCGATCGGTCACGTCTCTGTTACGCACTGTTGGCAAGTACTGAATGTATCTGAACCTGCTCCAGTGTTGGTCAAGTCTGGCGTAGAAAGAGCTCACATTCGGTGTTGTCACAACACTTTCTGGCAGATTTTTCCAAGAGTTCACAACTCTCACTCCAAAAAAATTGCAATCACAATTTTCTGGACCTGAAGCTTCTTCAACCTTGAGCTGTGACCCCTTGTGGGGCGAGCGTTCGCCAGCTACAGATAAGGACACTAGACTGAGTAGTGTCCCTTGAGATGCTTCTACACCTCAATTAGGTCACTCCTTGCCCGTCTTAGTACTGTATAAGCTAGGCAAGTTCATATGCTCCAATCTCTCGGGGTAGTTGAGGTGCCGAAGTGAAGGCACCAATCTGGTCTCCCTTGAACATTTTCAATCAACTGACAGTCCCTAGTATATATCAGGGACGAAGACGGGCTGACAGTACTCCAGATGGGGAAGCACTTCACTCTTAAAGAGTATTACGAGGGACGGACCATCTAGATATCTGATCAATCTTCTTGTAAGACCTAATAATTTATTTGCCTGATTTACCTTCTTCTCACAATGGCCCGAGAACTTCAGCTCATTGTCAACATACACACCTAGGTCCTTCTCAAATTCAGTCTGAAATAGTGCCGTTTCTTCATCCCATTGGGACATATAATACGCCCCCATACTGCTGGTACGCCCCAGGTGCATCCTCTTACACTTCGTGACATTGAATCTCAGCAGCCATTTCTTCGACCATTCCTGGAGCCCACAGAGGTCCTTCTGCAGCTCTTCACAGTCCGCTTGGTTCTTGATTTCCCGAAATAACTTGGCATCATCCACAAACATTTGTATGGAGGAATGTACAGCATCAGGTGTCATTTATGAAACAAACAAACAACAGCAGGCCCAATACACTGCCCTGTGGTACCCCGCTTGTGACAGGTACAGATAATGATTCCGTGCCATTAACCACCATACACTGCTTGCGGTTATGTAGAAAGTCTTCCATCCACGCTAGGACATTTCCCCGAATTCCGTACCCTTTCAGTTTGAATTTCAGCCTTTCATGGGGTACACTGTCGAAAACCTTGGCAAAATCTAGGTATATACATGTCGATATTACCACCACGCTCCAGAATATGGGTCCAAATATCCAAAACCTTGAGCAAGTGTGTTAAGCAGAAGCGCCCTGGCATAAAACCGTGTTGGCAATCCTTTACAAGGTAATAATTTGTTAAAAGAGAAGAAGTAGTGGTGAATGTGTTCTCCGACTGCATCAATTTGTTTGTGACTTCAACGGTAAATATTCTTTATTTCAAACTTTTTTCCACCCATATCTTGAAAGTTAATATTTTCAAGCAGTTATTCCTCTACAGACATTAAATTCAGCATTAAAGTGAGCCAGAACTGTGTATCCTAAACAGTTAAATGTAGATATATTTGCAATATATGAATATTAATTGAACATTATATATAAGCTACAAGGACCTTCAGCTTCTTAGCCTATTACCATCAACTGAAATAAAACGACTTCAGTGTGTCTTACAAACAAAAATATAAAGCACCATGACATCATGAGAGTAAACACCATCACATCATGAGGGTAAACACTATGACATCATCATGGTGAACACCGTGACATCATGAGGGTAAACACCATGACGTCACAAAGGCGGATCCAGGGGAGTCCTGGGGGTCTTGTACTGCGCACATCATTGTCATCCTTAATATCTCTTTAATTCATAATACGCTGCATAACATTCATATCCACCACGCTTGTAGTCACAGAAAACGGTAGAAAACGGGACACTTTTATAAGGGATAACTCTGGATCACTTCCAACACTTCATATATGCCTGATACATTTATCCCTTCTCCAGATCATTGTTCTCATATATTTTCATCTGATACCTGAGGTAGCTATGCTTACTAATCTTTCACAGATTTAAATAGTATGACCTTCAGACACGGTCGACACTTATCCCTTATAGTACACTAGTCCGTATCAATTGGACCTTCCCAATCATCGTATAGACACTTTGCGTTCTCCTTAATGCTATAAGTACATACACTTAAGATTATAAGACCGTACATTGGTACAATTCGTATAAAACAACATACAACAGTCGAGTTATCCCTTATAAAAGTTTCCCGGTTTTCTACCATTTTCTGTGACTCTACAAGCGCAGTGCATTTGAATGTTATGTTGCGTAATATGAATAAAAGAGATATTAAGGATGACAATGATGTGCGCAGTACAATCTGGACCCCGTTTTACCAGAAAATTCTAATATTTTTTCTTTAATGCAGTATTGTACTATTGACATCAGAATATCTCTTAATATGAAGTGCACGTGGCATCAAAATGGCCTCAAACTGCCTTTGATATTGGTCAGATTTCAAACAATTTTCTGAGGGGCTTACAGCACCCCCCAAAAACATTCCAGCTGTGCTTGTCATGTTCTCTCACCCACAACTACTTCTGATATTCCTGGATCCGCCCCCACATCATTAAGGTAAACCCCATAACATCATGAGGGTAAACACCATGACATCATGAAGGCAAATATCATGACATCATGAGGGTAAACACCATAACATCAGGAGGGTAAACAATATTGTTGCACAGATCTAGTGTGTGTGTGTGTGTGTGTGTGTGTGTGCACACTCGCTACAAAAGTATCTGCAAATTTTTTTGTTAAACAATCTGACAAAATGACGGAGGATTTTGACACCCTACTGAGACAACAGGAGTTGCAGTGTTCATTTTGACATCCATCGGACCCCACCTTGCAGATACTTTCTGTAGAGTGTACATCAACAGGAGGAAGGGTGAGGTAAGAGGGTGGATGACTTACTTGAAGGTGCTGAGGATAGTAAAGTGGTTGTGGTCACGTCGCAGGAGTCTGATGCCCGAGTGAGAAACTGCCAGCATCTCCACCTCCCCTGCCTTGCGTGAACCCTGCCAACACCAAAGCAGGTTTTATTACTCAATCAACAAACTAATCAGTGGCAAACAGGATAAAGGAATCCTGAAATAATTATTATATCAATAACCAAAATGCTGACAATGATGTTACTGATTTATATTTGTTGCAAGAAAAGACACAGGGGTGTTATATGTGCTGGATGATGACATCACAATGATTTGGATCACGTGTAAGACAATTCTTTCCATGCCAGTTTTAAAGTTATCTGTTTGTAAACTATGACTCACAGCATGAAAGGGGATCGATCAACAAGTGAAAATGACTATGCAGTTTGTACAGTAGATCTTTGCTGCACACCAAGGATGTTCACTTCCCCAACTATTGTCAGTGTCCATTCACAATTGGGTCCACTGGGGGGTACCTCAGATGCGAATTAATGGCCCTGCATCCATCTAGTCACTATTACTGTACTCACAAATTGGGGTAAAAAAAAAATATTGGGAGATAAGAAAAGGATATACTCACAGTAACAGGGAAGATAGCAGTAAAGTATAGTGGCCAAGACTTGGCCAGGTCAATGATTTCTTTCTTGACATTGTTTTTGTGGTGCTGAGAGAAGGTGTTATTAGGCGTAATGCCTCGGTTGTCCAGCATCTGTTCCACAAAAAGATACCTTCCATTATCTATCTCTCTATCAATGTATCTGTCAACATGACATTATCATGTACAGGTATATTGTTTACCCATACAGTAATATGAGAGGGAAAACAATATAACGCTAACAATATGATAAAAAATACTACTGTACCAATGGAAAAAAGTAAAAGTACATTACATATAGTAAAATACAGTATTACCCCGCCTAACGCGGTTTCACTTAGCGCATTTTACCGTATACGCGGTGCCTCGCCAGAGCTGAACTTTCACTTAACGTGGGTTTTTTCCACATATACGCGGTGAGTGTCCGGCTCGAGACGCTATTTTTAGATTTGCCCCACCCGCCACCCGCCACTCTGCCTGGCTGCCTGTTTTAGCTCATAAAATTCATACAAATTACCCGGCCAGAATATAATTTACATTGCTGGAATTCTCACAATATGATGATCATTTTGAATATAAACATCATAGATTTTGCATTAGACATACAAATTTTAGATATAATGTTTACTCTGAGTAAATATGTTATCTTTTGTGCAAAATATATGACATTTATATTCAAAATATTCCTGGTCTTACAAGGAATCCAGCAATGTCAATTATATTATCCTAACGTTAGTTTGAGGTATTATTTATTACTAAAAAGTTAAATATTCTGGTTTTCCCACACATCTCCTTGGGACGGTTGGTGGGGGGGTGGGGGGAGGGAGGGACCGACCGACCATCTGTTACCCTGTGAAGAATATTTTTTTTTTTTATTAACTGAAGATATTTGTTTTAGCTCATAAAATTCATACAAATTACCCGGTCAGAATATAATTTACATTGCTGGAATTCTTATAATTTGATGATCATTTTGAATATAAACATCATAGATTTTGCATTAGACATACAAATTTTAGATAAAATGTTTACTCTGAGTAAATATGTTCTCTTTTGTGCAAAATATATGACATTTATATTCAAAATATTCCTGGTCTTACAAGGAATCCAGCAATGTCAATTATATTATCCTAACTTTAATCTGAGGTATTATTTAATACAAAATGTTAAAATTTAGTTTTTTCACCCAACCTTTCTCTTGAAGGGAGGATTGGTGGGGGGTGGGGGGAGGGTTGGGACTGACCGCGCGGTTGGAAGAGGGGGGGAGGCAAGGTGGGGTACTTTGATTGACAGATAGTGTCGTGAAGAATATTTTTTTTTTTATTAACTGAAGATATTTGTTTTAGCTCATAAAATTCATACAAATTACCCGGCCAGAATATAATTTACATTGCTGGAATTCTTACAATTTGGTGATCATTTTGAATATAAACATCATATATTTTGCATTAGACATACAAATTTTAGATAAATGTTTACTCTGAGTAAATATGTTATCTTTTGTGCAAAATATATGACATTTATATTCAAAATATTCCTGGTCTTACAAGGAATCCAGCAATGTCAATTGTATTATCCTAACTTTAGTTTGAGGTATTATTTATTAAAATTTAGTGGTTTTCCCCAAAAAATTTCTCAGAGAGGGAAGAGCCAGCAGTGTAGTGTGAGAAGAGGGGGAGGGAGTTGAGTCCATTATTTGAATGGACATTAACTTGGCGACTGTATTTCTCTATTTCTCTTAAGTATTAATTGTGTGCATGTACCATCATAAAATTAAGATGTTATTTTTACTACAACATAGTTATGTGTCGTCAAAAAGTGGAGTTTGGGGGTCGGGCCGGTTTCTATTGGAATTAATCCCATATGTTCTGTTGTTCACTTAACGCGGTTTTCACTTAACACGGTACCCTCTGGGTTTATTGACCGTTAAGTGACAACTGTATATTATATATATATTATATATATATATATATATATATATATATATATATATATATATATATATATATATATATATATATATATATATATATATACACTACACTTAATGTAATGCAGGGGTTTATTTTATCTCTTGTGCAAAATATATGACGTTTATATTCAAATTATTACTGTCTTGCAAGGATTCCAGCAATGCAAATTATATTCTCCTAATTTTAGTCTGTGATATTATATAAGATAAAAACTTTTAAGCCTAAAACCCCAAACCCTGGCTGGGAAGATGGAGGGCAGAAGGGGAGGTGACAGTGACATGTTTGACAGTTGGCACCGAAGGTTTAGTGATGTATTTATTTGCTCCTTTAGATTTTTTTTTTTTTTTTTGCTTAAAAAATGTCACAGAAGTGACCGGGAGAATATAATTTACATTGCTGGAATTCTTATAAGATAGTGATTAGTTTGAATATAAACATGCTATAGTTTGCACTAGACAAAAATCTTAGTAATAATTTTGAACATTATTTTGAGTACATGTATGTACAGTACAGCTTTGCCCTTAGAACACTGTGTGCATGTAAATGAGTAAAAAATAAATTAATAAAGTTACATACAGTATAGCGAGCCAAAAATATTAGTTGAAAAACTTTATGTAGACAGAGCTTGGATGGCTAAATTTTAGAATGACCAATAATTTTAATATAAAAAATGCAAAAATATTCAAGAATACAACTTTCTTGATATTTATTCCACTGGAAATGAATGTAAACATAGAACCGTATTGGCGGACTAGCCGATCAGCTGATGCACACAACAAAGCGTGTTTCTACTGAGGCTTTCATTAATCAAAGTTTTGTTCGTTAATGGAACTGAATTCTCTATGGGAGCTAATTCGTTAATTGAACCGTTCGTTAATCGAGGGACCACTGTATACATCTGCAATATAAAACAACCATTGTGACTGACCTTCCTCATTTGTGCGCGTTGTTCATGGGTGATCCTGGGGGTGTGGCCAGCATACACATCAAGCACCACCTGACAGAACACCAGGTGAAGTGCTTCTCCATACAAGTTCTCACCAGGAGTAAATAGCTAGTGGAACAAATGGTCACTATTATGTTTATGTGAACACATACAGTACAGTTCATAACAGAGCAAATAGATTATAGTAAGAATGGAATATATTAACAATTAATAACATCTTCACCGAAAACTAATCATTAATAGTAAGTTGAATTAGGTTCTGAATTATCAACTATCAGCTGATCCATAAATAATATACCGAGAATAAATGACAAAAGGTGAGGGGTAAAAATCATTAATAGAACTAAGAATCAAACATCACCTCTTTCCTTAGTGTTAATGACCAGGGAACAGAAGCGTAGGTGATGTGTGAGCCATGAGGAGCTGGCAGGAGTCTCGTCTTGAAGGCTTCATAAGACCTCTTCTCCATCTCCTTATCAACCAGAATTGGTGCACTATCCACTGGCTGCAGGAACTCTGATGACTCCTCAACTGCAATGTGTATAATATGTTACTTAGTTGAGGAATTGTATTGTTTTACCAACATGTATACCAAAAGAGACATAAACATCATTACACTGTATTGACAAAACCCTCAACAAGACCATTGATCACTACTGGCAGTGAAAGTCAGCTTCAAATTTAGTGTCTGTGTGGGAACAATGGCCCAGGAACTGATAACAAGTTGATGCATGGCATGGACTTAATACATGCAGCTACATTATCTATACCAATGAATAATCAGTCCTCTCTTCCACAAATGTGTTTGCCTCTCAAGAAAGAATTTTTAATCACCCATACAAAAACGTCCAAAAGTTGTTGGAATGGAAGTGATAATGTCTGAATTTTTTGTCTTTTAGTGCTTGTGTAAGCAGCAAATAATGGCTACTGCACAGAGGTGGCGAGACAAAGTAGGTTAGTGTTCAGGGAAAAAAGAAAAGAAAAAGAAAAGTAGGAAGTTTCAATTCTTCAAACCTTTATTTAGTATGAGAGGTGAGAAACATATTTTCTTATATAGATTTGTTCCTAAAGTTGCTCCATCTCATGAATCAGTTATATACATTTCTGTATTATCATATTGATTACAAACCATAACAACAAACATCCTAAATACTATATGGCTAAATGATGTACTAATTGAGATGTATTATGAGATCAGTAACTAATTTTGTCTTTATACAGTATTGAAAATGTACAATGAAAGACAAAAGTCGTGTCGTGAAATTTGGTGAAAACATATACTTTTACTTTTACTTTTATCCTCTTCACCACTGATCGGCTTGTTAGCTGCTTGGGCGATCGGTCACATCTCTGATTACTTATCCTTTTCATTTATCTTCTTCACCAAAAGATCGGCTCGCTAGCCGCCCGGGCGATCGGTCACGTCTCTGTCACGCACTGTTGACAAATACTGGGCATGCACCGGCTCCTGAATGTACCTGAACCCACTCCAGTGTTGGTCAAGTCTTGTCTTGAAAGAGCTCACACTCGGTGATGTCACAACACTCTCTGGTAGATTGTTCCAAGTGTTTACAATCCTCACTCCGAAAAAGTTGCCCTCACGGTTTTCTGGACTTGCGGCTTCTTTAATCTTGAGCTGTGACCCCTTGTGGGGCGAGCGTCCGCCAGCTCCACGTAAGGACACTCAACTGAGTAGTGCCCCCTGAGATGCTTATACACCTCAACTAGGTCCCCCCTTGCCCGTCTGTAGTATAAGCTAGGCAAGTTCAGGCGCTCCAATCTCTCAGGGTAGCCGAGGTGCCGAAGTGCAGGCACCAGTCTGGTGGCCCTCCTTTGAACATTTTCAACCAACTGACAGTCCCTAGCATATCTCGGGGACCAGATGGGGTGACAGTACTCCAGATGGAGAAGCACTTCACTCCTGAAGATCGTTACGAGGGACGGACCGTCTAGATATCTGAACGACCTTCTTATAAGACCCAATAATTTATTTGCCTGATTTACCTTCTTCTCACAATGGCCCGAGAACTTCAGCTCATTGTCAACATACACACCTAGGTCCTTCTTACATTCTGTCTCAAATAGCGCAGTTTCTTCATCCCGTTGAGACATATGATACGCCTCCTTACCGTTGGTACGCATCTGGCGCATCCTCTTACACTTCGTGACATTGAATCTCAGCAGCCATTTCTTCGACTATTCCTGGAGCCCTCAGAGGTTCTTCTGCAGCTCTTCACAGTCCGCTTGGTTCTTAACTTCCCGAAATAACTTGGCGTCATCGGCAAACATTTGTATGGAGGGGTGTACGTCAGGCATGTCATTTATGAAACAAACAAACAACAGCGGGCCCAATACACTGCCCTGTGGTACCCCACACTGCTTGAGGTCATGTAGAAAGTCTTCTATCCACGCTAGGACATTTCCCCGAATTCCGTACCCATCCAGTTTGATTTTCAGCCTTTCGTGGGGTACACTGTCGAAGGCCTTGACAAAATCTAGGTAAATATTGTCGATATTACCACCCCGTTCCAGAATATGGGTCCAAATATCCAATACCTTGAGTATGCCGAAGGGCTAAAATTTTGGTGCGCTCTGCCTTGTGGTAGGGGGCTCTCACAATGTTTCACGAGTTATATTTAATCTTCGGACAAAAACGCGACACAACTTTTGTCTTTGATTGTACATGATACTGTACAGTAAGAGTATGTGTTGTACAGTATTTGAACTGTACAAATATATAATATGGCTCATATTCTTTGTGTCTACTAAATACATAATAAGTGTAATTATGCTGCTCTGGTTCTGGTATGTGCAGCATAATAAAGTATGAATAACTTTACTCTTGCTTCTGTTAGGACAAGTGATTTTATTTAATTTATAAAAATCTAAGTACTGTACTGTACTGCAATATCGTTTAATTTTTGTGTATTTGAAAGGTAAAACATATTGTTCCTGAATGATTATTATTAGTACACTTACGTTCATAATGTTCTGTCTTCTCAGTGTGCATTGTGGAGACAGAGGTGCGACGATCACTGCTGTCACCATGGTAATCAACACTAGTGCGGAAACCTGAGGGTTGAATGGGTGGAGGCGGTGACCTAGGCTGCGGAATGACAGGGGAGCTCTCTTGGGAGGATACAGACGGTGCAGGGGAAGATGCCCGCCGATTTATATACATGCTAGGTGGTGCTACTGGTGGAGGAGGGGGCACTGATCCACCTTTGTCTGTCTTAGAAGTAACTTGTTTGATGGAGTCAACTGTGTCCCACTTGTCACCCTCCAGCTGGTGCTGCAGGAGGAAGCGTCGGTGAGCCTCCAGCTTCTTGATGCCTCGTGTCTGTTGCTGTTGCTGCTGTTGCTGCTGCACCACAGGACCCTTTTGTGCACTGATGGAAGAAATAAGGATACAGTATATCTTACTGAAATATATATTCATTGGTAGTTAAGAGTACCAAAGAAAGTTCAGTGTAAAACATATCAAGTAAAATGTTTCTTGAGAAGTGGTAGGCTAGTAAAGACTGAAGAAATAATAGATGTACAACTAAACACACTATATTACAACATAAACAATATGGTTACAGTATTTGCTTTTCCATAAGAATAAATGAATGATGATAATTTAGTAGCTAAATATACAAATATATGGTATAAGTGAGTACTATATAAGTGAATGTAAGAGATATGAAGACAAAATGAACAAGTGTGTGAGAAATAATTATGTATAATAAAATACTACACTGCAATTTCTTGTTTGAGAAATTATGTATAAATCAGTGTACTCATGATTAAGGATGTGATTCTATGAAGCAATATGAACATGATGATGATATCCCATATATTATCACATCTTTATTATATAACAATCACCAACCAAACTTAAACAAAACAAAACTGATATGAGTATTTTTAATAAAGTCTTGGTGAGTGTGAGAGTAATATCTCTCATCTCTACTAACCGTGATGGGTGAGATGAGGTGAGTGCCTCAAGTTTCTCTCTCATCTCTCTTGAGATTTTCAGTTTGCCAATCCCTGAAGATTTCCCTTCATCGACAGGATTATCCCAAGAGTCTCGACGCCGCCGTGTTGCTCCTTTCTCCTTGGCTTCACTCTTTTCTCTTGGTGAGGTTGGTCCATAACCATTTGTCTGCTCAATAACCATAGTCTGGTGCTGAGACTGGATCTGCTTCTCCATCTGCATTTGCATCTGCATTTGCATCTGCATCTGCATCATCTGTTGCTGTGAGTCCTTGCGAGGACTCTGCTCAGCACTGCTTGGTGTGCCACCCATTTCAAACTCTTCCCACTCTATAGCAAAGCTCTCATCACGACTGGGCCGCTGGGAATCCTACAGTTTAAGTACACAGTTAAGGAATGTTACAGAGGTTTGAGAATGTCAATAAAAGCTCCTATGAACTTGTCTAAACCCTTATATCTTTCATTCTTTCCATAACAATAATCATTCTCTGATATTTTAGCTAAACATCTTCTCACCTCACATATAGTGCATCCCCCAGGCCACCCTAGTCTCATCTAGAGAAAACTTACAATTATCACAGCCATCCTTGTCAATTCTATACACTGTACCTTGACACCACACAATAACACATACTCCACTCATTTCCATAACACATATACTCCACTCATTTCCATCATATCCTCCACATATCACCATAACACATCCTCTAAATACAATAGTATATACAGTACAGCATTCCACACATCACAATACTAATGCACGCATGCACACACACACACACACACTGTACCTTGCCGTCACTCTGTTTGGACATCTTCTTGCTCTGTTGTCGTATCTTAAACTGGAAGAAGGAGTCATTGGGATCCCCCTCACCCTTGGGAGGAGGCCACCTCCACTTGCCAATCCTCACTGTCTTGGCTCTCTGGTATGGGTCCATGAAGCCTCCAGCCACATCCTGCCAAATCACACATTAATTACAGTACTGTATATCAATTTCATTTGATAATTTGTAAAAAACTGATGGGGAGCTTATTCATCACTGTAATTTAAAGGTTTCTATTCAGCCGTCATAAATTAATGCATAAATCACAATGTGCATTTATAATATATTTTTGACACAGTAGTTCTACGCATAAATTTTTAACTTCTAAATATTCATTATTACATATATGTATGCTGGAAATTTTAGTGCATTTGTAGACTAATTCTGATACAGTAGGCCTGTAGTTACCCCCATTAAACTTCAAACGTATCATAAATGCACAATGTAAGTGTAGGTACTGCAGGTAGCAGCTCCACACTATGAAGGGCCTCAAGATATCTCACCAGTTATCTTGACCTAACATCTGTTTTCCTGTGGCAAAAATATCTTTTATTAAAAATTCTCACTCACTCTTGGTCCCTCTCTCACGTACCTCTCCTTGTAGGTGTGTGGGCATGGGCGGAGGGGGAGGCACCAGACCCCCCCAGGGGGACTCAGTGGGGCTGAAGATGTGTCCTGGAGGAGAGCCGGGAGATCCCGGTCCTAGGCTAAAGTCGTGGAACATCTGAAGTGTGGAGAGGAAGCCAGAGGCATGCAGGTGCATTAGAGGGGTGTGGTGCTGCTGGATGACCCACTAGTGAGGTGCATGTGTCAGGGCTGAGGCTTGGCTTGGAAAATGGCTCCTTCATCAAATAGACAACACCTACACCACAGATAACTGAAGCTTGTACAGGGTTGATAACAATTGAAACTGACCAAGTGACTTATATTTGTGATGATGGTAATCAAACACTGACATGACCAAACAATCATTTTCCAAACTTACCTCCAAATCTACTTTTGCAATCCAGGGTAAGATTTGGTTCATAAACAGAAGTAATAAACCATACAGGTGGGTGACTACACCAACTAATTCATGGAGTAACATTAAAGAACCTAAGTTAACACCAAGTACAGTTTAATTTTTTTTTTCAAAGACAGCTTTTTCCTCAATTTTTTTTAAAAGATTTTCCTGAATATGGAAGAATTTATATTTTAATGTGCAACAGTAAACCATATCAATGTAACTGAAAACCTCTAACACCACCAATACAAGCACTAACACAGTGACAAATTTAATGCAAAAAAAAAAAAAGATAAAAATAGCACACAGTCCTCACATTACCTTGGCATCATCTGAGGCATTTGAATTCTTCTTCTGGGCTTGTTCGCCTACAGGGGAAGAAAGAGCAGCAGCCTGGGAGAACATGGGAGCCCCTGAGCCAGGACTCAACATCACCAAAGGAGGTGGAGGTGATAAAGGAGGTCCACTGACCCTTCGTGCTCCACCTTGTGCTCCCTCAGCATCTCCTTCTGTTGTTCCAGCCTTCTCGGTGCTCCACAGCTCACTTTGCTCTGGCTCTTGGAATGATACCTGCAAGACAATTGCTATTAGAATACATCACTGTTTTTTGGTTTTCCAATTTAGGGTAACATAATTTAAAGTTATTTAGGAATATATTAATTAATTGTATTTAACTTATGTACAATTTAAAAGTCACTCCGTTAATAATTTATGCATTATGAGACTCAAATGAAAGATTTCAGAGAAGTACGTAATTGTCAGGTCACGGGAAGCAGGAAGCTTAAATCAAAGGACAGCAGTCAGAAGCACCGAAGCAAAGTCTTACACCGATGGTTATCTCAGACAGCGTGACTCACCAAATCCTTGTGTTAATGTCAATGTCAAAGGAGACCTTAGCCTCAGCAGTAAACCCACAGCTGTCTATCAAGGTCCTATGGTTAGTTGTCCTAAGTGTCTGCTACCTTCCCGGCCACTAGGTGAGTGAGTAAGGCAGTTCTAAGGTAATTACTAAAAGCTCCCTCTAGGGTGTCTTTGGCCTAAAAGCAAGTCCCTCTGTGGCTGCATTGCTCCGCCCCAGCGGTGGTACCTTGTTGTTGTTGTTGATGCCGCGTCTCTGTGGGAAGGAGTACGTGTCTCCGCCCACCTGGTAGTGACCCCTGCCAATCTGGGGTCCATCAGCTGCCCCTGCCATGCTCGAAATGCCTGCCATACCAGTCATGCCCATGTTCGAAACAGATGCCAATGGTATCCCTTGAGCTAGAGGGATACCAGACATCATGGGTACACCAGGTGACATGGGCATCCCTTGTGTCATGGGCATCCCTTGTGTCATGGGCATCCCTTGTGTCATGGGCATCCCTTGTGTCATGGTTATCCCTTGTGTCATGGGCATCCCTTGTGCTACGGGTATACCTGGTGACATGGGCATACCTGACGTAACAGGCATCCCAGACACTTGCATCATGCCGAGAATATTTAGGCCGAGGGCACTTTGTGGACTAAAGTCCCGTGATGACATGCCCATGTGCTGCAGGAAATATCTTGCTCAGCAGTCGAAGAGAAGGAACACATCCTAACAGGTCATCTAAAATGTTTGTCTAATATCATTGTAGAAATTACATCTTTCATTCATATAAGGACTACTCATCATCACATCATACAAGGGTAACCTCCAGCTAGAAACAGGTTGAGGCTCTCACTCACCGGGATTGACTGTGTGAGGAGCTGCTGCAGTGCTTGGTTCTGAGCCATCAAGTGTTGTTGGATCTGGATGTTCTGAGCTACGGCAGACTGGATGAAGGCTCGTTGTATGTTTTGTTGATGGATAAGAACCTGGCTGGGATCCACGTTTGTGGCCTGACCTGATGCCTGGACTCCTGGCACATTCATTCCTTGGGAAGAATACAGATACTCTGCATCTTTAATGTTAACCCATATAATTTTCATGATAAGTTATAAATAATCATCATACTTATAATAATTTGTGTACTGTGTAATGATACACAATATTGAAAAAATATTCACCTCCTGTAGAGTAAAGAGGCATGGTGCCAGCAGGGATGAAGGGAGGAGGGGAGCCAGGTGTTCCTGACATAGAGACATTTGGGTAAAATGTTCCTCCAGCAGTAGTTGGAGGAGCTCCTGTCTCCACCTCAGCTGCTCCTTGACCTCCGCCTTTCAAGGCCTCCGTTAGTAAAGGTATAGTTGTCAGTGTGGTCAGAGATTCATTAAGATCAACATCCTGCAGGGCATGCAGTAGACTTTGGCGCCGGAAGGATCCCTGCCGTGTTCTAAGATTAAAAATTTAATTATGCAAAGCATCTCGAGTATGAGATCAGAAAATATACATAAAAAAATATTCAAGTGAAGACAAGTTGATAAATATACTAACAACAAATCATTACTGCACGTAAAAATGTGATGACAATTTCCATACCTTGCCAAGACAATGCTATCATCAAAGCAATCTTCTGCATCAGCATTGAGTGGATGAGATACAACTGTGTTTCCACCACCCTTGATGGAGGCAGCTAGAGAGCGAGCATCAGAGAGCTCGTCTAGTTGTGAGTTGAGGACGGGCATAAAGAGGTCATCAAGAAACTGGTCAACATCTGACGCCTGGGATGGGACACGTACTCGTCGAACATGAGATGCTGTAGAAAAGATCACTCAGGAGACTTCAATAAGGTAAAGAGAACTACAGAACTACATTATAAATATCTTTAGTGTCAGCCCATATTTTGCTCATATTAAGTTTATAAATAATCATCGTACTTATAATAATTTGTGGGCTGTATTGTTACGACAGTCGCCATCTATTGGTTAAGTAAAATGGTGGTGAGGACTACCAAGAGTCGCCACACTGGACTGTCTTAATGCTTCAACTCATTCATTAGAGGTTTGGTGTTCGGTTAACCACCCTAGAACAGCCAGTCAGATTGTGGACAGTATGGTTACCGGCTGTGGGTCTCACCTCCTTCTCCTTCATAATGATGAGTACATTACTGTAAGTTGTGGCATATAAGTCAACAATTTAAGCTTGAAAAAATCTCTCCAAAACCAGAGGTCGACTTATACGCCGAGTATAAAATGTGAAGCTTTACCACAGAGTGAGAAACAAGTGGAAAAGCCTGCCTAACACTGGCTGTGCATCACTTATAGTAACTCCTGAAATTCATGTTTGGTAAACTTATTTAACATAGAGTTCGTAATAAAATAGTAAATTTCAGTATAGGTACTCCTCGACTTACGACCTACTCGACTTACGACCACTCGGACAAACGACCGCCGCAGTCGTATAAAATATTTTTCAAATTACGTATTTTCGAGTCCCGACGTTAGTGATCGCGCCGTGTACTGATATAATTTTCGCTTGTAATTCCTTTTAAATTGGCTAGCAAGCGTAAAAGTGAGAGTTCTCGTGGTGTTGAGAAGAAAAAGAGACACCCATTTTAGATTTTCTATGTATTATTTTCGCATTTTCAACTTACGACCTGGTCATCGGTCCCTAACCCCGTCGTAAGTCGGGGACTGACTGTAATTAAACAAACACAACACCACACGCCATTTCCAAAAACTAATGCACAGTAAACAATCGATCAGAACACCACTAAACCCAGGCGGCCAGCCAGACAACTACCCGGTAGTTTGTTTACACCAGCTGATGCAAATGGTGGATTGTAAGCCAGGTGTACCATAATGTTCTACTACCATACCGTATATAGTGGTACTATCAAGGTGGTATACTGGTTTGCTGTGTAAACAAATAATATTTTATTGGAGGTGCTGATTTTGGCTTGGTGTTTACCAGAGTTTTTACAAAGATAACTTATTGAAGATTTTTAGTGGTTGCTTGCTGTCCTACGTAGATCCTGTTGCCCACTTCCCTTTTTGTATGAACTATATAATATATATATATCAAATATTGAAAGGTATTACGGTAAGTGTCTTGATGAAAGTGGCATGACTTTATTGCACACTTTTGCCATAGGCTATATCCACATATCACTTCTAGCCTAGCCTATGTTTGAGCCTTGGGGGTCGACTTATACGGCGAATATAGGCCAAAACCTGAATTTTGAACTAAAAATCTTGAGGTTGACTTATATGCCACAACTTATGGTAGTTGTATTGTGTGAACTGTCTTTACTTACGTTATAAGTGTTCCTGCTCCAGTTAGGTTAAGTACTGCATATTGTAACTGATTTACTTATAGGTTTAACAGTGTTGTTTTGTTAACGCCTAAATTCTCGAACTGAGCAAACTTCCTATTTTGTTATTTTGTCATTATTGTTTCTTGCATGCATTGTAAAAACAGCATGCCTTGACAATTCGCGGGTTTTTAATTCGCGGACCTCAATTATTCGTGGATGACACTGGATGTACCCAAGAAGGTCTAAGGGTAGTTTTAAAGTTGCTGGCATTTTCGTGGCCGGGACAGGGAGCCATTCGTTCTAGAGACAGTAATTTCTTTTACCAGTGTTTTATATGTGTGTGTGTGTGTGTGTGTGTGTGTGTGTGTAGTGTGTGTCTACACACACACACACACACATACATACAATACAGTACAGGTAAAAGAAATAATTTCCGTAAGGGCAAACACATAAGGGAAATGTAGATTTCTTTGCACACGAGTAAAAATTTACATCCCCCCTCCCCCGGTCAGCAAATGTTATTCGCGAATTTCGTTATTTGTGGCCATTTTGAGAACCTAACCCCAGCAAATTTTAAGGGCATGCTGTAGTTTATATTAATTATATTGTTATTTTACTTGTTGGTTTTGCTTCAATGATATCTGCTGATATTAGCCAGTCTTTGAAAACGTTACATGCTGAACAGTTATATTAGTCAAGAACCCAACAGAAGAAAGGGTTAATGTAACAGTATAATGATACGCAATATTGAAAAAATCTTCACTTCCTGTAGAGTAAAGTAGCCCAGCATTATAGGGAGAAGGGTTGAAAAAGACACACGATGGTGCTCGTTATCAATATTAGTGCTTACCTAGGGAAGGGGCCTCGCTAGTGTCAGACATAGCAGAGGATTTGAGGTACTCTCTTTCAATGTAGGCTCTGGTGGAGTGGTGGGAGCCAGGGCCATGAGCTCTCCGCCCCGCCTGCCCGCCCTTGATGTAGCGGCTGGACACCCGTGAATACTCTGTCTTGGTCTCATCCTCTCCACCTTCTATGCCATTCCTGGAGATTGTGTATACATTCATTACACACTCAGATGGACACAATAATTCTTTGAGATAGAACTATGAGTAAAAATACTGTACAGTATATACACAATTTCATTCTGACATAACACAAACTTGGTGAGACAAATCAAATTGGGAACCAAAGACTAGGAAGACAGAAAATATCTTCACTGATTAAAGACAAAAATATCCTCATCTCTTAAGTACTTTTCATAAGAGGAAAATTTGTAATAGCATACATAATTTACATAACTAATATGAAAGTATTGTCAGAACTATAAATATACAGTACTTAAAAATATTAGCCCAAAATTCCTTGAAGTATTTTCTAGGTACATATCATCAATATTGTATTTACTGTTTTGTATCATCAGTCTTGCAATCATTACTACTGCACTAACAATCATTCACATGTTTACTGTACGTACCTTTCTTCCAGTAAGTCATATTTGTTCCAGGTCCTGGAACCTGAAAGACTCTTGGCGACTCCTCGTTGGGACACAGACTCCAGGTGATCCAGGTCCTGAGCACTACGGCCGTTGAACAAGGCCCTCTGCTCAGTGAGACGCTCCACACTGTGGTACCGATCATTCAGTCGACTCCCCGACAGTCCCAGCAGCTAGGAGGGGAAGAACAGCTGTCAAATATGGTAGCATTGAACAGTATGGGAGGAGTAAGTCCAGGTTTATGGAGATGGGTAAGGGATGTAAGGGAGGGCTTAAACCAGTGAGAACATCTAAAAATTATAGAAAGTGCTGATAGTTATAAAGTACAGTATAGTTATGGTACCGGAGATAGTTAAAGAGTGTGGAGATACATTAGAACTGTAGGAGTGTTAAAAGCTATATCAATAGCTTAAGGTTTGTAGGGAAGGATTAAGGGCTGTAAGATATACAGTGTGTGTGTGTGTGTGTGTGTGTGTGTGTGTGTGTGTGTGTGTGTGTGAGAGAGAGAGAGGAGAATATAACAGGAAAAACTATTTTAATAGGGAAACATTATGAACAGTACTAGCAATGTTACAAAGGAGATCATTTTATATGTGAGACAGTATCTGTACTTCAAAGAACACTTGTGTGTTGCAAAATTAATACTATAAGTAACAAAGTGGCAGAGAAAGCAACTGGGCGAATAGTAAAATATTGTGGATATACCAAATGATATAAGAAGCTGTGTTGGTGGAGTGAGGCACAACAACTCACATTAAGCTATGGTTACACTAAAGTTTTCCATACAATAAATCCACGATAGCATTTCATCCACAGGCGATAAGTCAACGGTACAAACCGCACACTGATCACACTGGTGAAAGGAACCATTGGCCAGGCACCCGCTCGCGCGGCTAGTTTGAGCTCAGTTGAAGAGCAGGATGGCTTCATTGTATGTTTCTATGGCAGCATTAACCACTTTAGTGAGATGTGTGGTTCTGTTAAAGAAGACCAAGACGAAAAAGAAACGATTGTAGCATCCAAACAATGTTTGTTTACAAAAGTGACAAAGTACTCTCGAGTCAAATGAAATTCCCGTCGTGATGTATTCTTATTATATTTTGTTTACTATGACATTTTTGCTCATGTTTTGTTATTGAAATACACTTTTTATATCTTTTGTACATTTTAACATTATTGTAATAAGAAAAAATAAGAACAGTGTAAATTTTATTAATACAGAGTACAATAAACGCTCTAGAGTCTAGAGCAAATGTCAACCCACCATACCATGGATTTTCAGGCTCTCCATATCGTCTCACTTTCGACAACAAATAAGTTGTCGCTGTAAGGAGAACTTGAGGAGTTCGTTGAAAAATCAATGCTAGGGTGGATTTATTTTAGGTAGAAACTTTAGTGAGATTGCAGCTTTACACAATTGATCTTCACCTTTCACCTACATTTAGTAATATTCAATTTGTGACTCCTTTTCTAAAACTCAACCGATCACCACGATCAATCACTTTCTTTTTGAGATACAGTACAGTAAACCCTTGCCACTCGCGGATTTGAGATTCACGATTTCAATGATTCACGGTAAGAACATGGTGGCTATGGTGGCTAGCTTGAGAGCCTCTCCCACAGCGCAACGAGTTACCCTGCAGCATCTCCTCTCCCTCTGTTCGTGCTCAGCCATTGCCTCGTGTTGTACTCTCAAAACTTTAGTGTTTCTGTGTGAAAAAGGCCCCTAAAAGACTGCCTAGTGTCAGTGCTAGTGATGTTAGTGGAGTGAAACATAAAAGGCAGAAGTCAGTGATGACTCTGACAAAGAAAGTTGAATTATTAGACTAGTTAAAGGGGGGTGGGGGATGAGTGCTGCCGCGACTGATTGGTTGTTTGATGTGAACGAATCCATAGTGCGTTACATAAAAAAGAATGAACATGCAATTCGTGATTCTGCAAGTGCTAAAGTGGTGCAGGTAGTTTGAGACAAAACATAGTAAAAACAGAAAAAGTACTGAAAATTTGGATTGAGGACCAGCACCACAAAAAAGTTCTGATCGACAGCAACGTGATTCGTGAGAAGGATAAGAAACTTCATGCCCAATTTTATGAGTCAACAGGTGGTGAAGGGGCTAGTGCAGCTACTGAACCAACTTTTAGTGCCAGTAAAGGTTGGTTCGAGAATTAAAAAAAAAAAAAAAAAACCCTCTCCATAATGTGAAGCTGACTGGGGAGACCGCATCAGCTGACCACACAGCCGCAGATGCATTTCCCACAAAGTTAGAGAAAATAATAGAAGGCAAAGGCTATAGACCGGAGCAAGTGTTTAATGCCAATGAATCCAGTCTATATTGGAAAAAGATGCCTGGTAGAATGTACAGAAACAAGCAGAAGAGGCATGCCCCTGGGTTCAAGGCAGCCAAGGACAAAGTGATGCTCATCTTCTGTGGCAGTGCAGCTGGCCACATGATCAAACCTGACTTGCTTTACAGCTCAGCAAACCCTAGGGGTTTAAAGGGTAAAAACAAGAACCTTTAGCCAGTTTTTTGGCTGTCCAACAAAAAGGTATGGATAACTGTGCAAGCATTCCTGGATTGGTTCCATAAATGCTTCGTCCTGAAAGTGGAAAACATTCCTTGCTTCCAAGAAGATGTAATTCAAGGTGCTATTATTATAGATAATGCACCAGGCCACCCAGAAAGTTTACAGTTTAACCATCCAGGTGTAGAGGTGGTGTTCCTAACTCTTAACACCACTGCTCTCATTCAGCCTCTCGATCAGTGTGTAATACGCACCTTCAAGGCATATTACACCCGACACTCTTCTGGTCGTATCTGTAGTGCCATGGATGCAGACCCTGACCTTGATGTTAGCAAATGTTGGAAGGAGTACAGCATTGTGGACTGCATTACCAACATCAGTGAAGCATTCAATGAGCTCAAACCAGAGACAGTGAACGCTTGTTGGCAAACCTTATGGCCTGAGTGTGTGTGAATATCTTCGAGGGATTTCTGTCCATAGTAAAGGATGTGAATGACATTGTGAGTGTTGCTGAAGACGTGGAAGAGCTGATTGATGGGCACAGAGAGGATCTGACAGAAGAGGATTTGGAGGAGTTGGTAAAAAGTGCTGAGGTAAATGAAAAAGAAATTGAGGAATTGCAACAAGAACAATTTTGGTGATCTATTTCGACATGTGAAGGTGGTAACTGATTTCATTGTTGACCACGACCTTTCCATGGAACAGAGCCTTAATATGGTCCAAGAAATCAACCAGGTATTGTTTCCCTTCCAGGAAATGTTTAAAGACCACAAAGCCAAGAAGAAACAACTATTAATCATGATGTTTTTCAAGAAAGAACCAGCCGCTTGCCCAACTGATTCATCTCCCTCCCTCACACAGTCAGCTGCAACCACCACTGCTCCACCCTCCTTCTCCCAGCCACCCATCACCTCACCACCTGCCTCCCAGCCACGCACCACCTCCTGACCACATGCCTTTCCACCACCTTACTCTCCACCAACCACCACTGCATCACCCTCTTCCAACAGTGATCCTGATGATCCCCCTATGCTTAAGTAACCAGATGTCTCCCTATGTACAGTACACCACTTCATCAAGCTCCAAACTTCCACATATGAATGAAAGCAGTATTGGTGACCTAAGTTTCTCATACACAGTATAGGTATACAGTAGTGCACTAATGTAGTATAAGTTGCTATTCGTGGTTTTGCCAACTGGCGCCATTCCTTGGAACCTAACCCTTGCTTGTGAATAGCAAGGGTTTACTGTATTTCATAGACACAGATGCAACCTGAGACACAAACATAATACAATGTCAATAACCTCTTGTATCCTTCAAATAGGGATTGAAAATGTTAAGGAAATAATAGAAGAATAGCTGTGAACTGTCTTATACTGGATTGCAGAATAAAGTTGAGGAAAATAACCATTAAATTGGTACAGTACACAATTTATATTAGATGGCTAAACTATACAGTACTGTATGTATAAAAAAAGTAATTTGTGAAAGAAAAATACTAAGTAATTTTAATATCAATAAAAAACTGTACTGTATACTATACAATATATTTTTTTTTATTCTTTCAGACCCATGTTTCAAGAGTGTGATAGTGTGTAATACTGTATTGTACTGTACAGTAGACCCTTGCCATTCACGAGGGATAAGTTCCAAGAAACGTGCAAATTGGCAAAACCGTGAATAGCATCTTATATA